GTCACACCGACCAGTGATGGGGACATGTCTTACGGTTACGGTTATCACAAACTCACGCAAAGTATGAGTATATGAGAGGTATAACAGACTTCACTCTTCAGACACACAACACATACACACAGACTATAGACTTATCGTCCAATCGATTGTCTCGTTTCACACAATACTTGACGCATAGATTCATATCTCATACAAATGTTGGCATTTCTTCATTAGACAGGAATTTAATATAAAAGTCGATTAAAATGAGTACCACTTGTGCTATATATCATTCAATCACATCTTATATGTTATATAATGAGCGCATGCCTTCACTCAACACATCATTACGTAATGCATTACTAATGCCACACATTGTGTCGACAATACATGCAATCAAAATGTTGGGCTTAACTCACCTCCAGAGCACTGGTATTGGGGGTAACCCTCACGACCTGACGCCTCCCATTCAGACAGTTCACTGTGACCGACATGTCTTCAGTCAAACGCTATCACTTCCCGACTGAACAAGTGATACACAATTCACGCAATCGTCTGTCACTAAAGTGTCACTAATATAGCCATTGAAAGCAATGTTTCAAATCATATGAATTTTCGCAGTTTTCACACTTTTATTTCGCTTTTACCAGTCATTCAATCAAACATTCATATATTCCGTTACAATAATGGCCCCCAAAACAGAACCCCTTTAAGTATTGTTTGCGTCAAATATGAAATGCAAATATTGTGTCCAAACTTGACGTCACGTGACATACAATGCATTGAACGTTGGGGTCAATCAAATGCGGACAACACTTATATAATAGACTTAACGCTTACTTAACTTACAATTAGGTTTAATATATGACTCAATCATTGATTAGTGGACTAAATATGAGTAAAAATTGTTTGCATTTTTCAAAACTCATTCTCCAAATACAGTGAGAGTTTGAGGCATAAGTGGGCGGAGTCTGGCATACGATCACCGCTCTCATTGGTTATTGACGTGAATGGCTTTGAATGCTTTGTCCATAAGTAATGTCGCTTAATATGTGTGGAGAGGGGGAGACATGAGTGGAGTTGAGTGTAGTATTGGTTGACTCAATGGTTGAGTGAATGCGTGAATAAAGTGGACGTAATTTACGTATAGAATAGCAAACTTGAAATCGAAGGTCGAATTGGGTTTGCATTTGATTTAGTGATCCGTTATATGTGTTAAGACTGAAGACTCGGTTCACTGTATTGTCGTCTGTATTGACCACTACTTAACCCCCAAAGCAATGGCCGACTCATCCGATGAGCGCAGTTCTGGAGATGCCGTTCAGGTATGAGTTGTCGACCAATTGGTCACACAATGGGACACACATTGACTCATTCGAGACATTGATTGCAATACAGAGTCGACTGAAGGAACAGTTGAAGGATTGGCGAGAATTGGTGTTGAGATTGCATTCACTGCTCATATGGCAGACATCGGAAGCGTCTCCACTCATCCTATGGGCGGTCGTGTCTCTGGTCTTTGCGTGAGTCACCTCTGAGTGAAGTGTCATAAGAGTGGTAGTGATGGATGTGTTGTGTGTTTTGATTACAGTGTGATCTGGTATTTGGATGTCTCGGTGTTGACCACACTCTCGGTGTTAGCGATGATGGGTTCAGTCATTGATTACGGCCTTCCCGTTGTCAACACTTACCTCTTTGATCCGTCCAAATGGTTAGTGTCAGCACATTGTCTGCATTTGAATGTCTCACTCATTGTTGTATTGCTTCAGGAGTTCCTCCGATGAGACAAAGTTGGAGAAGATATGCAGCGAATTGTCGACCAATTGGACAGTCATTGCCGCGTCTTATAGGGAATGGCAACACATGAAGAGCGCAAACCCGCGCCTGTATTACGCGGTGCTGTTGTCGTCACTGTTAGGCCTGAGTTGGATCGGAAACGTTGTCCACAACCTTCTCCTCACATATCTGTTGGTCGTATTCGTGGTTTTGTTTCCGGGACTCAAACACAAGGGACTGATCGACAAATACTCAGCCCTTGTATTGAGTTATGTCTGCAAATTGAAGAGAAATTGATTTCCTTTTCAAACTCTTTATCCCATTATTTAAATTATAGCTTAAGTTTTGCCACAATTTGTTCATTCATTGGTATTATTCGTTATTTAAGTCCCAAATTGTTTGAAACTTTTAGTTTACTTTGAAAGACATTTGTTTATAATTAGATTATAATTAATTTCTCGATTGCATTCACTTTGAATTGTAATTATCGCCACTTTTGCCAATATATTTAAATCTCAAATATAATTAACACAAATCCTTTCAATGCATGCCTTAATGGAGTGTTTTATAAAGAAATGTCAAAAAGAAATGTATTTATAAATTAAAACAATATTAACTAAATTGTTATCTTATTTGTTATAATTACAACAAAATGACTAATAGATTGTAAAAATGGATTAATCAGTAAATAGACTAGAGATGTAAAGAAGTGATCATTTCTTAAAGACATTGATTAGTGTCTCGGAAGTGATTTCAATGTTTCCGATTCTTCTGAGTCTACGTTTGCCCTCTGCCTGGCGTTGCAATAGTTTGTCTCTTCTGGTTGTGTCGCCTCCGTATAGCTTTGCGGTCACATCTGTTGTCATAATAATAATGATCATAATGTCTACACGTATTGAGATTGCATACCCTTTCGATAGGCTTTGATGTCCTCTCGCGCCACAATCTTGCCTCCGATCGCGGCCTGGATTTTGATTTTGAATTGTTGTCTCTTTAGACTGTCCTTCAGCTTAAGGCATATATTCTTGCCGTATGTTTTGGCTCTCAACGCACTCACCAGAAGAGACAATTCATCGACAGGTTTATCATTAAGAAGTACATCAAGTTTGACTAATTTGGTGCTCTCATAGCCACTGTCTTCGTAGTCAAACGAGGCGTAACCCGAAGTGACAGACTTTAACTCGTCGTAAAAGTCAATAATTATTTCACTCAATGGAAACTTATATTGAAGTAAAAGTCTTGTGTTATCGATATAATAGGAATTGGTTTGAATGCCACGTCTATTGAGGCATATATTGTTCACATCATTCAAGTAAAGTTCGG